TTTTTACATATTTAACAGATCAATTAAACTGATATTTTTTATTATTTAATCGCGTTTAAGTAACAACTGCATTTTCCTTAATTATTATAACATCGACAATCTTTTTTTTCACGACTGCTTATTATTGTTTGTTTTTTTTATTTCTCTTTATTCAATGTGTTTATCGATAGCTTTATTTGCTTAAGTTGAACAAATACTGGTTGTCAAAAAGGTAGAATTGTGGAGTTTGTTTACGTTTTGTTAATACAGAAAGTGTTGACCGTATAGGTTTAGCGTTTCTTTTGATGATTGGCTTTTTACTTGTTTAAAGCATAAAATACTCTTGCCATTGACTAGAGCATTCATCTAATTGAAACTTTTATCATCTTTTTGTTATTGTTTTTTGTTATTGTTTATAAATGAGAAGAAATCTTTTTTCCCTTCATTTTCTATTTATTTTTTTTTTCGTTTTGATTTGAATAATATGTTCTTTTTCGTTCTGTTTGAAGGGAAAACAACTTCAATTAAAGGTACACTATAAGTGTAAATTTTATTGAAATGTAAAAATAAACCGAACCTTTATTCAATCAACAACCATTTTTACTCAACAACCTTTTTTACCATGACTATAATCTTTTTTTCTTTTCAAGTCTTTTTTGTTGTTAATTAATTTTATATTACAGGAGGGTAACTGAACATATAAATTTACAACTGAATCCTAAACATACTCTTAATTTGCTATGATTAGCTTTTAATAATCTAAATATCGGTGAACCACATTTTTATCCCCAAAAACATTAAACATTTTTGGAACTATTCTGAAAACACATCTTGAAAAAAATAATAAAAAGAGAACAAACAAAAAAATCAATTGAAAACGTGTTTTGTGATGATTTTCCATGTAATTACAAACATTTTTAAAAGAGATTTTTAATAAATTCGCGCTTGATCAATAATGTCCAAAACAAAAAACTAGCACTTGGGAATGTGGATATCGAATTGTTGAAGTTTTGTACAAATTAAGTCTTGGATATGAATTTGAAAACTGTTTATTTTATGAAGAAGACTCTTTTTATTTTTTCAGTGAATGGTTCTGTACAAATTATGTAACAATATATCAACACAACGTGTGATCATTACTCAGTCGGTTTACTTATAAGTTTCAACATTGAACCGTTGTTAAATAAGACAAGTAATATTGTTTTTTGTTAAATTTGGTTATATTACTTTTATTAATTATATTGAAATTTTTAATCATTGTTTACCCCATTTGTTCATGGAACAATAAAAAAATTGAACCAATCAATTGGTATTATTAAAAACACTATGTTTAAAATTCAGTTGTGTTTTTATATGTTCAGTTACACCCCTGTAATGTGTTTTTTTAAATACTAAAGTAACTTTTATTCGAAAAGACAAGATATAATTATAAAATTGTCTATAAAAAAAATCACAACAAATTTATCGTGTTTTAATTATTCCAACCTATTTATTTAACAAAACAATGAATTAATTTTTTATTACAAAACAATTATTACAATAACAAGGATAATAACGTTGTTGTATAAAAAACATTAAATAAACAACAACACTTTATATTTTTATAGAGTCAGTATTTTCATTGGTTAGAGCAAACAAGTGACACAACAAAGTAAATATCATGAATGTATTTTTATTTCTTAATTAAAAATGTTTACAGTCGGGGGAGTGAGGGGCTTGACCTATTGTTTTATTATCTTTTTTACTATACAGAGTTATCCCTGTTCTATTTTAAAAATAACAAAAACTATAAATAATTTAAAAAATTTCAAAGAAAAAGGTTCTTAGCTTATCCAAAATCAAATGATACGTTTTTTAAAAAGAAAAGGTTAACAACCTTAGTGTTATGAAGAAAATTGAATGGCTTATTTCTATTGTTCGAAATAACCAAGAATTAATTTACAAAGCTTCAATTATTTTGTTTCTATAACAGCAAAAAAATAACTTCTTTCTACAAAAACAGGATTTCCTTTGGCAATAATAGACAAGTTGTTCCTCACACAAGCCAACTCGTCTCACCATTTGGCTTGTGTATTCGGAGTTGTTAAAATACTAGCTTACTGAATACTCTGACAATTGAAATCAATTGACGCCAATTCCGCAGTAACTGAAGACTTGAATTGATTTTTGGATGAGAAAACATAGTGATAGTGATGGCAGATCATGACAAGTTCTGAGAGAACAAGGAGAACCGAGAGAGAGTATTTGTATTTCCATTGCTCGTCATACCAAAAAGGTGTTGGGAACATTAGAGAGCAAAGCAACAATAACATTATTATTGCATCATATAAGCGTTCTGGAGTTGTTGGAGTCAATATTGGCAAGATCAAAAGAATGTTCGTTTCTATAAAAGAGGCTTCCCGATTGTTACAGGAAGCCAATGGTGTTTATACCAGAGAACACTTGGAATCGTTTGTTATTCCGCCTAGACCAACATATTTGGTCAAATCCGAAGAGGAAAGTTTACCTCGGAATATCCAAGAGCTGAACCAACAACGAGAGCCATATCAAACAAGAAGACTAACGCCTACCGATGACATAATTGAGAACTAACAACTAACAAACACCAAAGTCATTTTTAATACAATTTCAAGTTCTGACTTTATGCTAATGATGAACCAATACTTTTATGGTTTATAAACTATAACTTATAAGTCATGGTTGTGTTTTTAAATAGAACATTAAAAATAGTTTTTATTTAAATATAGTAAATAAACCATTAAAAGTATAGGTCAATCCCCTCACTCCCCCTACTGTATATATAAAATCAATAATCATTTTTAAATAAAAAAGAGATCAATTCTACACGAGGGAGACACCACAAAGTGTGAATTGTCAAAAGTAGCTATCGATGCCTCCGATAAGCGAGATCTCCCACCGGAAGTTGGCCCGGTGGCTGGATAGGGTCTGGTAAACCCTAAAGGCAATCTCCCAGGAAGAGAAAGTCAAGCCTTGTCACCTCGGATTTTCGCCGTTCCAGCAAGTCCCAACTCTGCATTTTCAAAGGCTTTGAAGGAAACTCTCTGAACTTAGAGAGTCAGATTGTCTCTCCATTTTATTCTCAAAACAAATTCTTGCCATTTGAATATCACAGGACCGCTATTTGACTTTGGTTTGAATAAAACTTGGTAATACCAGGGCAAAGATTTGGGTTATAATTGATACCACAAAATCCAACAATTTCAGCAAGGAAGTCACAGATATTTTCGACACATGCAGACAACCAGCCTGGCGTGCTCATCCAAGTCTTTGAGGGCGAGGCATCAATGACATCACATTGCAACCTGCTTGGAAAGTTTGGGTTGTTTGGTATCTTATTAGCACCATGTGGAGTCTCATAGTTGAAGTCACATTTGACACAAATGTAAATGAGATATTAAATGTGTCAGCTGAAAACGAAACAATAAATAAGAAGACTCTCAAAGGAACAGTTAGACAAGATGGTTGCAGACGCAAAAGAGTTCAAGGCGGAAGACGACAAGATGATAACTATTGAGGCTAAAAATCGACACTCCCCTTCTGCTACTGTGTAATAACAGAGTGAACGAGCATTTTTTAATGATATCAACAGAAGATAATGCAGCAATCGAGGCTGATGTCAAAGACGTACTTGAGTTGTAAATTGACAAGAACCAATCAGCACCAAAAGTCCATGTGTTTATACAAAAACTCGATGCGTTGTTCTTATTCTAAACAATTAAAAGATTCAAAAAATCACAATATTATTTCATGTTTACACGTGTCGCGTTTTTTTTTTCAAAAAAAACAAAAAATTTATTTTGTCATTTTTCTTGGTTGTGGATTGTTTTACAAATTTCATTATTTTTTAGTTTTTTTGCCAGAAATTAAAAAAGAAAAGAAAAGAAAAGAAAATAATTACACACCTTGGGAAAACCATTTTCATGACTCCACATACCGATAGAATTTTTACTGTATTTAAATTATTTTAATAATAAACGAGCTTATTTTTAACTTTGTATTTCTTGGCACTATTCTAAATTCTAACTGTATTTTGATAATTCAATAATATTGTTTGTTTTACTATGATTAAACCATTACACAAAAAAATTAACACTTTTATATATCCACGTAAAAAATCAATTAAAGAACAAGTGTATTTTTGAGTGTCGAATAATTCCTTTAATACTGCTAATAAACAAACTCGTAATGATATTAATACAGAAATAAAATGAATAACATTTATATAATTTTTTAAATTAAAAAAACTAATTTTTTAAACTAAAATTCGTTTTTTACAACTAACAGTGTGGCAGGGATATGCAAATTTTTACAGAAATTATACAATAAACATGTTAATGTTTTTATGAATAAGTTGGGTTGTCAAAAAGTTATTTGTTGTTTAATTGTAATATAAACTGAAAAATAAATTTTCGAAAATCCAGTCAAATACCACATTAATTCATTTTTGTTTTTTGTTATGTTTTACAATAAATGTGAAATTAATTTGGAACAAAAAAACTATTAAATTTATATTGTTATTAATTTAAAGTCTAGTAAATAAAAGGAATTGTATAATAAAATTAAAAAAATATAATTATGTTTTTTTTTATTTTAAATGAAACTAAATAATACAACCATTTTCAAGTTATCATTTGTATGAATTATCGCTTCATAAATAATCCCAAATTTGTTCTTTTTTATGTAAAATAACAATTTTATAATAAAATATTTAAAATCTTTCTATAGTTAAACACTTTTGAGTTTCATCTGTAAAACCTCAAAATTTTAATCGATATTTGTGTAACTTGTTTAATTATATGTTGTTTCTTTTTCAAGGAAAAAAAGCAAATTTTTACAACAAATGTATCAAACTAAAAATTCAAATAAAAATATAATTTTTTTATCCAAAATTCTTTCATTTGAAAAAAAGTAAATTTTTATTTCTTTTTTGTTTTATGGAGGTTTAATTTCGTTTCTTTTTTCGTATTAAAAACTCTTTTCTTGAAACTGAAAAGTTACAAATGGGCTTTTCAGACTGTTTAATACGGGAATTGTCTCCTCAACAACTCACTGTGTTCGAGAAGATATACAAAGTACTTCACAATGACGAGACCATCGGAAGAGGTATTGACATTATGAACGAGCGACTCGAACAATCCAATTTCAAGGAAATTTTCTTGAGTAGTCATTCAGGTTTTATATCCTATTTACTGTGTTGCCCTCGCTTAGAAGAGTGGACCGACTACTCCATCGCTGTCGTCACCATATTAGATGATTTGTTCCAAGACAAATTTGTCGCCGAGAGTTCCATAGTGAAGGATTCACAATTAATCTCCTCACTCACTGATGCAATTGACTCTTCTTTTGCCATGTCAAATGCACAGAGTCAGCAATTAATCAGATTTATTGCAAATTTCATCGGCGAAAATTCCGAATATGCTTCTTCTTTCAATCAATTAATAGTTCCTCTTATGAATTTAGTGGAGCCTTCCAACCAGAGTCACTTACTCGCCGCTTCTGCGATCACCAATATCATCCAGCCGTCGAATGCAAGAGGACAAATTGTGTTTTTGAAGGCGCGTGGTATTGAAAAGGCGGTCCAAATGTTGTCATCGACGGACAGTGAGGAGAACCTGATGGGTATCAAATTGCTCTATCAGTTATTGATTCAACCGGATGAACGCGCAAGGACGGTGTTTGTCAAGAAGATGTTTGAGCAAGAGAGCTTTTTAACGACATTGACTCAACTCATTTCACGGTCTGAGGGCCTTCTTGCGGAGCTTTTAGTGACTGTAGTGTATACCCTGACATTAGTCCGAGGAAATGAAATGAAGTTTGAGGAGAGTGGGTTGATCTTTGAGTTATTTGAGTTTATGGACTATCCATATAATGAGCGAACGACCCCTGCGACGTTCTCGTGGGCGGTCAATGCGCTCTTTTCGATACTTTTTGAGAAGCGGTTGTACCCTCAGATGAAGATGATAGGGCTTGGGAGTCGGTTGACGACATTACTTGAGAATTACAAGCAATTTAATCCCCAAATAGTTGGGTCGATTATTGGGATTATTCGCTATTTAGTCTCCTATGAACCGATGCAAATGGAATTTGTTGTGTTAAATTGTGTGCAGAAGATGGAGGACATATCGAAGGACGGCGAAGTCGATAAACAGACGCGAATGATTGCGACGTCGATTGCACAATTGTTGAACAACGACAAGAACATGAAGATGTGGGAGGAGATCAAGGAGAAAATGAAGAACAACAACGAAGAGTCGAAATTGCTCGCACAAGCGAAACAAGCGCAAGAGGAACAAAAGACGGAAGAGAAGACGCCAAGAGCGACGAGTCAGAACCCACGAGACTTGTTCAAAACGGTTGGCCACAAGACTGGAAAGCGGTTGAGTATGATTGGGAATAAAGTGAAGGTGCCGACGACACAGACGCATGAGAAGAAGGTTGTGAAGTCCAATCGCATGTCTGTGAGTGATTTGAAGATGCTTTTGAATAATCCAAATAACGATGAGGAGCAGATGAAAATCTTGTCTGAGTTCAACTTGAAGAAGGCGAAGAGGTTTCATATCATCCAAGAGATGTACACGACGGAGAAGACGTATGTGGAGTCGATGAAACAGTGTCTGGACAAGATGTACCCGTTTATTAAAGAAACCCTTCCAAATGACGTCACCACGATCTTCTCCAACTTCGCTGAGGTCTACGACGTCCACACAAAACTCTTTGACAAAATTTCGGACCGCTGGCTTTCACAGAAAGAAGAGGCTTTTGTTTCTGTGGCAGACATTTTCATCGACTTTTTCCAATTGAAAGAAGTGTACACGGTGTATGCAAGATACTTGGTCGAGGCGGACGACGGAATTCAATTCAACTTTGCGGACAAGGGCCCGGAGGTGAAGGCACAGTTATCGAAGTGGGCTGGAGAGTGTTTAATTCTCCCCAATTTCCTTATTCTGCCTGTCCAACGGTTCCCGCGGTATGTGATGTTGTTGGAATCATTGCTGAAGGCAACGCCACCAATTGAAGAGTACGACTACTTGAAAGAGGCGCTTCAGGATGGAAGGGACTTGACGATGAAATTGAATGCCGCTAAAAAGGTTATTCAAGACAAAAAGTTCTTGGATCACTATAACACCGTTGTGACTGACATCGAGAAGAACGAGAACAGACAATTCATTAAGGAAGGGACACTAACAGTAAAGGAGAAATCAAAGGTGGTGTATCAATGCGTGTTGATGTCCGACGGTCTCTTTGTGCTCCAACCGGACAAGAAAGACAAGAAAATTTTCCACATCAAATTCTTCTGTAAGAAGGGAGAAGCACGTCTTGTTGAGTGGAAGAAGAAATTGCCGAAGGACGTCACAGCTATCATCTGCTTTGCTTTGCCAGAAGGAAAGAAAGAAAAGAACATTCAAATCATCTTCGAGTTTGGGTCGGACTTTGAGGGGTGGTCATCGTCTATTAATTCGCTCTTCATGTGTTAATTCGAAGACTCACAATATTTTTTATTCGGTTTAAACTTGGAATTAGTATAAATATTTTTCATGGAAGAAAATTTTTATGTTTTACAGATGGGTGTATTTTTGAATCAAAAGAGAGGATTATCGTTTAAGGTTGAGTCGATTCAGTGAATTGTTAATTTATAATTTCAATTGTTTATTTGGGCATTTCAATATTAATTGAGTGAATTTTCATCTTCTTTATCAAGTCCACTACAAAACTTGATTATAAACAAAGTATTGACATAATTGAAATTTAGAAATTAAACATTTTATGATAAACCAAAAGTGATTCTTCATTCAATTGGGACTTTACAAAAAAAAACAACAAACAAGATAATTTCTGATTACTTTTTTGGAATTGGCAGTGAATGGGAAGTTGACTGAGTTCAAAATTTTTGAAACAATTATTACGATATCCACTATTTTCATTAATTGTTAAATAATTAAAAAATGTGTTTCTAAGTGCTAAAAAAATAATAAAAATTTGTGCAATTAAAATATAATTTTTAATTTTATAGTTTAAATGCAATACTTTAACGAAAGTGGGTCATAAACACCAAACGTCTTGTAGATAATTAAAAAGTAATTTAGTTTTTCATTAATTAAAATCAAAATTGAATACTTTGTTTTATATATTTAATACATGCATTAATCAACTTTAATTTTATCATTTCT